TGAGCCGTTCGCAGCAAAGGTCCGTAGGCGCCTCCAAGAAACAAGGTAGTTAATATGTTTCTAGAGGTAACTACGTGGATTTTTTTTTTTCTATTCTTGGATTTTTGGTAATACTTTAAAGTCAAAAACGTGATTTTAGCCTAAAACGTTCAATATATATGTGTTATTATAATATGAAAAACAAGAGAGAACGCTATAGTCGGGTGCCCCGACTATCAGATACCCGTTACTCAGGTAAAGGGAGTGCGAGGGAGATGGAGATAGAAACTTTGATCACGCATAACTTTTTAACGAATGGTCCGATTTGAAAAATTTCTTCTACATTTCGATAGGCATTGATAAAGACAATAAAACTGAATTTTTACTTTTCCGAAATATTTAAATTTTTAAAATCGTATATAAGCGATTGTGGGCGTTAAAGGGGGCGTGGCACCTTTTTGAAACAAACTTGCGCTGCGTAGGAACTCCTAGAATCTGCATGCCAATCCTCTAGCTTTTATAGTTTCCGAGATCTCAGCGTTCATACGGACGGACAGACGGACAAGGCTATATCGACTCGGCTAGTGACCCTGATCAAGAATATATATACTTTATAGGGTCGGAAACGCTTCCTTCTAGCTTTTGCACGAATACAATATACCCTTTTACTCTACGAGTAACGGGTATAATAACAAGGGCCAACAATTTTTAGAACCCAAAACTGGACACAATTTCTTATGCAATTTTTCGCGCTGAATCCTTGATGATCGCCATATCCCCAGTAGCAATGTTCTTCCTCTCCGTATTCCACTTAGGGCGCCGTTGAAGTGTAGTGAGGTACTCCTGATGCCATCTCTTCCAAAAGCCTTGTAGCGTTGCCTGTACATTCTGCCAGTAATCCAGCCGGTTAACTGCTATGTGGCCAAGATCGCCCTCTGGAACTGATGTATAAGGGCGAAAAATCAGCAGCTGTGTGGGTGACAAGTAGGAAACTTCGATGTCTGACGTAGCGAAGAGTGGGCGTGAATTGACGACGGATTCAATTTGAGCCAGAAGGGTGTGCATTTGCTCAAATGTGAGGATAGAATTCCCGATGACACGGTGCAGATGAAGCTTTACTGAGCGAACAGCTAATTCCCATTTTCCGCCCCAGTGGGGTGCGTGCGGTGGTATAAAACTCCATTTGATACCCTCGCTGGCCAATGCTTGGGCTACTTGAGTGTTATGCTGCTGCGACAGGAGGAGCTTATACATTTCGTCTGACACCTTCTTTGCTCCCACAAAGTTGCGACTTTGTCGCTGAAGATGTGGGTACACTTGCCTCGAGGGGAGATAAAACGACGAAGTGCAGCGAGAAATGTCTCCGTGCTGAGATCTGTAGCCAACTTCAAGTGAATTGCGGAGGTCACTAGGCAGACGAATAGACAAATGTATCCTTTTCCTTTCGTGGATTCCGTCCCTTGTGGACTTTGAGTAGAAGCTGTCTGGCATAGTCTAGTATAGTATTTTGAAATGGGTATGCTTGACGTACGCGAACAGCTGGCAAGTCCGCCATGTATTGATCAGTTGTTTTGTGGCGTTGGCGAAAATATTTGTGACAAGCATGTGAAAGCTTGCGGATCATGTTGCGTGCGCCAACTATCCAATATTGTTGGCGAACGTTGACGAAAAGTGCTGTCACGCCTGAATGAAGATGTATCCTGTGCTCGTGTTCCAAAATCAGCAGAGAAATGCGATGATGTTTCGGCAGAATAATTGGATGCTTGAACTCCTCCGGTAGTAGCGAGTTTGAGAGGCGCCCACCTACACGAAGCAAACCGTTCTTGCAAACCATGGGTGAGAGTGTTCGAAGTGTTGACGATTTTGACACAGCTTTTCCCCTTTGCAACAGGTGTAGATCGGATGAGAAGGTTCTTGAGCCTGCCTTAGACAATAAATGCGGGCCTCGCTGATTTCCTCAAACGTGAGTGTGAGGTTTGACGGAATCCGTTTGTTCATTCTTCAATGCATAAACCGTAAAACACAAGCAGTGCAGCAAATCAGCTTGGTCCAGGAAGTAACTCGAAACGATAGGTTCAGATTCAATACGGCTGGATAGTGAAGAGGATTTCAGCCCATCCATTATGGGCGTATCCAAAATTGTTGTGGGATTGTTTCCACTACGCAGCTTTGAAGCAAGCAGATCGTTGAGGTGTAGCCAATGTGGTCCCTTCCACCACAGCTCAAAGCTCATAAGATTGGCTGCTAGCAGGGTTATCTTTTGAGCCAACGTGATGCCATGCGCTGCGTGGTATGACATCCAGCATCTCCGAAGTACGGTTGGCGATAAAGGTGTGCGACAGCCACGAAAGGACAATCGTGGATTCGCACCAAGCATGCACAACTATATCCTTGTGATGCAAGCCTTCTTTAACAGCTCGGAGAAGGCGAGTGCCCAATAGCGCGCCACAGAGTTCCAGCCGAGGAAGACTTTGTTGCTTTAGTGGCGCAACGCGTGTTTTAGCTGCCATAAGTGACACCAAGCAGGTGCTGTCTGCGTTGCTTACACGGCTGTAAACGACAACGGCATATGCCTTTATAGATGCATCTGAAAATCCATAACGTGGAATCCTTAGGTTTGTTATGTAGTTAATATCGTCGCGACAGGTCTGCCACCACTCAGCCAGTTTCGGTGGGAGTTTTGAATCCCAGTCCAGGTCAAGTAGCCAAAATTCTTGGAAAAGAATCTTAAACTGTACTACCACAGGCACCAGAATACCTAGAGGATCAAAAATTCGTGAGACATCTGACAATGCACAGCTTGTTCCATAGGTGACTGTACAGAGTTGAAAGTGTTAAAGAGGATCTTTCGGAGCCTCTCTCCATACGATCCGTTGAAAGTTGCGGTGCTTAGGGGCAACCCAGATCTGGCGAAAAGTTTTAACTATGTCCGCCGAAAACACAAACTTGTGCATTCGAAAGCGAAGGCATACTTGAAAAAGGTTGCGTTGTATGCTGGTTCCGATGTGTAAGGCGTCATTTAGAGCGTGGCTGGTGTGGCATGTAAAACGTTTTGGCTGATGTATTGCATTCTTCAGGGGCCAGCTTAAGCATATGACCTAGGCGTAGATATTCGTTTATGAATTTTGAATATTGCTTGCGTAGCTCCATATCACGCTGCAAGCGACGCATAAAAGCGTGAGACAGCGTCCTGCAGGCTGTCTCCGAACTCTTGGTATTCGTGTTTACAAGGCAATTCAACGATGTATTTGCCGTCTGGATCTCGGGAATGTGTGGTCAGAAAGTGCTGCGTTAATGTCAATAGTAGTCATGAGCGTGTTGGCGGTTAATGGATGCGGCACTTCAATGGAAGTGATTATCCATCCAAAGATTGAGCTGATGGCAATTATATTTCCATCGGTGTCATATTTTTTATCACCTGACAAAACGGACCAAATTTGTTCATTTCCCAGTAATATGTCTACAGGTAAAGATGTGTTAAAAGAAGTATCGGCTAACTGGAGTCCATCGTAGATCCTTAAAGCTGTTTCGTCAATGTCGTCCCGTTGAAGTGATGATGTAATTTTGCCCAGCACATGGGCTGCGACAACAATCGTATGCAGTGACACCATTGACTTGATATGCAGCTTTGCCAATCCTCTAGTAGTTTCGGCCTTGACGGAAGATATTCCGGAAACTAATATTCTTGAGGATGAACGTGCAAGCCCAAGTGCGTTAACGCATCGTTCAGAAACGTAGGATAGCTCAGAGCCGCTATCCAGAAGCACACGGCAAATTGTGTAAGTACCTTTAGAGTTTTTGACATACACCAAAGCTGTGGGCAATGTGCTTCTTTTGAGTCCCGGTGACTGTGTTAATGACGTGCTGTTTTGCGTCTGGGCGACCAAATTTGAGCTACATCCAGAAGTTTGAGGACTGGCCTGTGTAGTGTCATGGAATCCATGTTTTCGGGATGTACAAGAGAATGATGACGGCCATTGCAGTGCTTGCACGAATGTTTCGAATAACATTGTGAAGATCGGTGGCCAGGGCGAAGGTAATTGAAGCAAAGCGACGTTCCTTTCACAAAGGAGCGTCGATGTTCGGTGTTCAGATTTTGAAATTGAGAGCATCTATAAAGCTGATGGTCAGCAGAGCCACACTTACCACAATTGCCACGGTTCACTGCAATAAGTGCGCGCTTCGCTTTGGCAGGCTTGTCCGTGTGGCTGCCAGGATCGAGTTTGATTGCCAATGTAGCTTGGCTTAATTCAAAATCCTCGCAACGCATCATCAATTTAAATTTAAAAAGGTCTGTAACGGTTGGTGTCGCAGAGCCTCTGGTGTCCTCAATCCACTTCCTTCTAGAGTCGGGATCAATTTTAGCCAGTACAAGATGAATCACCCAGCAGTCACGGCTGGTCTCCCCATCTGCATCTAGCCCATGAACGATTTCATTGGAGCCATCAGTAAGTATGCGTAGATTAGATACCTCGCTGTTGGGGGCAGCAGCCAGTCCCATGAAAGTGTCCAGTAAGGATTTCACGATATGCCTTGGGCGTAATGGACATGTGACTGAGAAGATTGGCCGCTTCACCAACAATAAAAGACTTAAGGTAATGAAACTTTAGAATCTTTCCCAGGTGGGTCTTGTTGTGGACGGTGCTCTCGTAAATGCCCTTTAAGTCTGGCCATTCCTTGTAGTCTCCACCAAAGGGTTTGATGTGGATTTTCGGCAACGGGTTTTCAGTTAAACAAACTGCAGCAGGCGGCGGCGTGGCCAAGGTAGGTGCTCCGTTCTTAGAAAGTCTCTGAAAGAACTCTTTTTGCTGTTGTGATCACTGCTGCCAACTTTTGCCCAGCAAAAAAAGCTGTTTTTGACGGGAAGAATTCAGAAAAAAGCTAAAAATATTATCCAAAAAATCCAATAAAAAGCTAAAGAAAAATGTATAAAAAAAGCGAAAAAATATAAAATTAATAACGATTTATTAAGGTAATTTTTGCTTAAAATATTTCCAAAATTTTATCAATATCTTCTTGGTTGTCCTTATTTGCGTATGACATATTAGTGCCTATCATGCGCAGATATTTTACAGGCACTTCATAGTCGACGCAGCATTTTCCAAACCTTCTGTATATTAAAATAGAATATGAATACAGTATATCTTTTGTTTGTAAATAACACTTTACCTAATGCTTAGAATGCTGTTAGTCGTGCTGAGGCCTATCGAATGCCTTAATTTGGATTTAATTAGGTTAACCTGGATAAAAACCCTTTCTATTTCCGCGTTTGACCAGGGCAAACATAATATTTGGATGGCCACAGTTGCCAACCCAAAATATCTTCGGTTTCCACCAGAATCTTTAAATTGGAGCACCTCAAACCAAAATTTGTTTGTGTCGCTGATGTTTTCCCACTTGATCGAATTAATGTTATTGTTTTGGCATTCAATTTCTGCAATATTCTTACATTCCAGGAACTCTGTGATGCTTTTAATTTCTTAATTTCTAAAAAAGCCAGAATTCCCGCTTTTCACAATTCCCGCAATTCACAAATATTTCCCGCAGTTAGTCTTCAAAAAAGCCAGTTTTGACGGGAAAAAATCCAATTTGGCAGCTCTGGTTGTGATCCGCTTGAGGTATGGCGCTTGGCTGAAGGTCGCTTCTCCTCATACGCTTGGAAGTCTTCGGTAGGATCCTCGAAACCCTCAACGTTATCGTACACGTGCATTTCGTCAGTGATCTCCTCAAGGCTTCTGAAGGCTTGATTTAGCCGTGCCAGCGTGTCATCGACTCCGGAGTAAGTGTTCTGTGGAGGTGGATTCTCGATGTAATTGACCAAGTGAGTTACGGTCGCCTTTAGCCGACCACGTGCTTGAGTAAGGCGTTTAAGCGTCTGTTGCTCCATGGTGTGTAGATTTACTTAAAACAGTTTGTAGATGCGGAAGTATTCCGGCTCTCGAAGGACCAGACAATGATGGTGAATAGATCACGCTAAATGGTTTGTAAGACCACTCTCAAATTGGGTTGATAGAACAATACAATTATTTCACAATGAGTAATTACGCTTTATTTTCATGTTGACAGCTCGTGGTCAGGAGGAAGAGAGAGAAATCAAAGTGAGACCAGACCATCTCAAGCAAGAATATCTTACATGCTATTAAATATACTAGATTATTGTAATTAGTAGTGAGGTTCCTCAACAAGCAGATTTTGCAGGATCGTGCTCACCGACTTTGAAATTACAACTTTTCCTGAGAGCGTTTTAAAGTTTTGGACACCGAAAAATCGCACACAAAACGATCTAACTCACGTACGTTATACTGCCCATAACTTCGGAAGTTTTATCGGATGAATCTAAAGTTTTAACGCAGTATTCTTCAAATGTTGTGCATTCAAAAAAAATATTTTAAAACAAGAAAGGAAAGCTAACTTCGGGCGGAGCCGAAGTTGATATACCCTTGCAGAATATTCTGTAAATTATATTCTTCAAAATTATTCATATGATGCATCCATACTCATAAAAAAAACCCAACTTCCTAACTTTAAAAACACCAAAGTTATGACATTTCCAATCGTTCAGTTATATGGCAGCTATAAGATATAGTCGTCCGATCCTTATGAAATTCGGTAGGTCGGATTGATTAGCCAAAAAAAAAAAACCCCAGAGAAAATCCCAACTTTCTTACTTTAAAAACACCAAAGTTATGGCTTTTCCGATCGTTCAGTTATATGGCAGCTATATGATATAGTCGCCCGATCCGGCTCGTTCCGACTTATATACTACCTGCAATAGAAAGACATTTTTTGGGAAAGTTTCAAGCAGATAGCTTTAAAACTGAGGGACTAGTTTGCGTAGAAACGGACGGACGGACGGACAGACGGACATTGCTAGATCGACTCTCCTGGTGATGCTGATCAAAAATATATATACTTTATAGGGTCGGAAATGTCTCCTTCACTGCGTTGCAAACTTTTGACTGAAATTATAATACCCTCTGCAAGGGTATAAAAACAGCCGAAAAAAATTTAAAATTTAAATCAGAGACTCACCTAAAGCCTAGTATTCAGATCGACGAATACTGAACGCCAGTCATGAGAGAGAGCGAGAGGCAAACAGCTGGCGTTCACTTTTCGTCAACGCTTTTTTCATCTCGGTCCTCAGATCGACGAAAAAATACCAGAAAATTGCATAGCGTTGCCAGTCTGCGGAAATGAACTTTGGGTGAACCCAAGCGAAAAGATTAAAAAATTTAATCTTTTGGCGTGCGCGTCTCACTGAACATTATAAGAAATGGAGGGAAAAACTCAAAAAACTCGCAAATGTCGATTGCACGAGTTTACATGTGAGGACAAAATAACATGAATACTATCTGGGTTGCCTCTTTTCAGAGCAAAATGTTTTTAGGTCAAGAATGTACGAAAAAACACAGTAAAAGTGCAGCTATGAACTTTAAATTAGCAAATAATTATCAGTAAATTAAAAAAAGACAACTGTTTAATTTAAATTGTACTGTTTTTTAATTTCGTTATACAGCGGCAGACTTGGCTCATGTTGGTACTGTACTTACTGATCAAGAAACGCATCTTGCACTTTGAATTGCCATCATTTGCAATAGCCTGTAAACAAGCTACATTAATACACATCGATACCAGAAGCGGTTTCTTAAACTTATCCGCTGTATTCTACTATCCGTTAATTTCAAATAAACCTCCGTGGTTTAATAAAGAGTTGTCACACCTAAAAAATATTAAGTTCAGACTTTTCAATAAATTTAAAATGTGCGGTTTACAATCTGCCTTCTCTCGGTACCTAAGGGCTCGGTCAAATTTTACCGTCCTTAACGCCCGGTGTTATAAAAGCTATTTGACTCGTTGTAGGGTCCAATTTTCACAAGATCCAAAACAGTTTTATAATTTTGTTAACACTAAGCGTAAATCAGCCTGTTACCCTGCATCACTATCATTCGAAAGCTCTACGGCAAATTCTGATCAGGCAATTGCCGATTTATTTGCCCAGTTTTTCCAGACAACATATTCTGTTTCATCCCGTCCAAATCCGTCTTATTCAAATGCCATACCCAAGTCGAACTTGATTTTTTGTCCGAGGTTAAGCGAAAGCTCCCTTCTTTTGGATCTTCATAAAGTTAAGCCTGTCTATTCACCGGGTCCGGACGGAGTTCCAGGCTGCGTGCTGAGGTACTGTTCTGAAACTCTGTGTAGACCTCTGTACAAATTGTTTACCTTGTCTTTAAAAACATCTCATTTCCCACTTATTTGGAAGGAGTCATTTGTCATTCCCCTTCATAAGAAAGGAAATAAATGCAATACAAGTAATTACAGAGGCATATCCAAATTATCCGCCATCCCAAAGCTTTTCGAAAACACTATTACACCCCATTTGCAACATCTTTGTAGATCGATTATATCTCCATGTCAACATGGATTTATAAGGCGAAGATCTACGACGACAAACCTCTTGGAGCTAACGTCTTTTGTAATAAATGGCTTTTGAAAGAACATGCAGACTGACGTAGTTTACACTTACTTTAGTAAAGCGTTTGATTCAGTAAATCACTCGCTACTCGTATTAAAGCTAGACTTATTAGGGTTTCCATGTGATCTTCTAACATGGATCTCAAGTTATCTGAGTGGTAGGACTCAACGAGTCCTCTTTAAAAACTCGATCTCTGATTTGATCCGAGTTACTTCAGGCGTCCCACAAGGAAGCCACCTTGGCCCACTTCTTTTTACTTTATTTATAAACGATCTCCCTCTAGTCTTGACAAAGTCGCGTGTCCTTATGTACGCAGATGACGTTAAGTTATGCCTGCAATATAACGAAATTTCTAGCAGTTCAGACTTACAATCTGACCTAAATGCTTTTCAAACATGGTGTTGTGAAAATCTTTTGGATTCAAATAGCGCTAAGTGCAAAGTAATGACATTTTTTCGGGTGAACCCACAATATGCAACGTATGCGCTGGGTGTTTGCGCGTTGTCTAGAATTACGCATGTTGATGACCTTGGCGTCCTTCTTGACCCAAAACTTAAGTTTTGTGACCATATTACTTCTATGGTGAATAAAGCCAGGGGAGTACTTAGATTTATTAAAAGGTGGTCAAAGGAATTTGGTGAACCTTATGTTACAAAGACTCTGTTCATTTCACTAGTCCGTCCAATCCTGGAGTACTGTTCTGCAGTTTGGAGTCCTCAGTATGGTGTACATATAGACCGGATGGAGTTTGTGCAAAAGAACTTTTTATTATTTGCTCTACGGGGCCTTAACTGGAATTCAAGCCTTATTTTACCATCCTACTCTAGTAGACTTCTCCTAATTAATCTACCATCCTTAGTAAACCGTAGAACAATGCTTGGCACAACTTTTATCTATAAACTTATTCACGGGGATGTGGAGAGTCCCGAGTTACTGGGTCGCATAAGCTTCTCCGTGCCTAATAGAATTACCAGGAACTATGTTCCTCTTACATTAAATATTTGTAGATCTAACTTTGATATGCATGAACCGTTTAGAGTACTGTGTAACGACTATAATAGACTATACCACATTATTTCTACTACCGACTCTTTGCCAAGCCTAAAAGCATTAATTTTATCTTACTTAGCAAAAAATTAGTATTAGTATTAGTCTCGTACGTATTTCTAATCTTAGTCTGTCCGCTTCTACATTGTGCTTTTAACTTCTCGCGATCTCGTTTTTACGCCTATTAGGCTCCGCGCGTAACAAGCACTGCTTGGTGTCGTAAGAGGCACTTGTTTGCGCTGATCATAGTGCATCAACGTCCGAATTCTGCCCTCCACGCTTTTCCATTTCCAAAGATGAATTTGTACAGTTCTTCGACCTATTAGGTGACCGTTTTTTAGCTGCTGGTGATTACAATGCAAAATACACCCACTGGGCATCTCGACTCACCATCCCCAAAGGACAACAGCTGTACAACGCTAAAATAACATCAATAAAAAGGCTTGGTCTTATCTCTCCTGGTAAGCCTACATATTGGCCAACAGATCCTAATAAGAAGCCTGACTTGATTGATTTTGCCATCACAAAAAGAGTGGCTAGAGATCATGTCCACGTGGAACCCTTAACAGATCTGTCATCGGATCACACGCCCGTTTTACTTCATCTTTACAATCATCCACAGCTTTCATAACGCATATATGTTCTAACCTCCCTTAAAACAGATTGGCTTAAGTATTGATGGCTTCCCAAACATGTACCAAAAAGAAGAGATTGACAGCTCAGTTGAAGAAGTGTCTGTTATGTCACTAGATGCACAACACTCCACCCCTATTATACCGGCTTGTAATCCTGATAGCAACTGTCGGGCTTCTGGGCATATTAACGAACTTTTACGCAATAAGCGAAGGCTTCGGAGGGAGTGGCAAGCCCATAGATCGCCTGCCTCGAAGAAGAGGTTTAAAACAGCAAACTATCTTCTACGCTCAGCCTTAGAGGATGAATTTAATCGATCTCAATTATCCTATTTGCAGCATCTGTCCACAAACACAAAACGACATCCACTGTGGAAAGCTAAATCAGGTATATGTCCACCAATCCAAAGTGGGTCGCCATTACACACACAAACAGGAAAATGAGTTTGCAGCAATGAAGAGAGGGCAAATGAAGCCTACATTGGTTAATAAATACCCGTTCTCCGCTCAAATTGGAGGTACTTCTGTACAATGCAGTTCTCCGAGCTATGGGGAAACGCATGCGTTAGCAACCTACAGTGACAAACTTAATTATTGGCACAGCAAGCATGTTAAACTTTAAGGCTATTTTTCTTCTTCTAATATGCTGATATTAAAATAAAACAAAATATTTTTAGATATAATCATACATTTTTTGTTAAATACAAGTGACTTTATTGAATTATCTTTTATAAATAATTTATTAAAAATAAAAAAACCAAAGAATGGACCAAATTTTCGTGAACAAAATTATTATTTAATTAAATATTTTGTTAAAACTTTATCGATTTGGGCACTTTTTTTTAATTATCACATTGCCTCTATAATCCTAATGGATATGTTTGTGCGTCTTCACAGAGAACGGTCGTGTTTTTGTTTTGCGCTCCGAATTTTCATTTTTCCTATTGAAACCACCGGGGTT